TCAAATATTAAAAATTAAATAATGATAGTACTCAATTAATTAAAATAAATTGATTAAAATTTCTTATATACCAGATATTCTTATACACAATATAACATGTATATATTTTATATTATAATTGAATATCGAACCTTGACCAACCATCTATTAAATAACAATTGAACTAAAAGAACTTAACTAATACATCGCAATTATAATCAAACAAAATTACGTATTTTAACGTTTTGTATATCAACCACAAAAAAGCAACATAAACCTAAATATCTAAATATTATAATCTCAAATTTTTAATTCATCAGATTCATAATAAAATATAAATCATTTCCAGATACAAGCAAAACTAAAAAATGGAAACAAAACAAACCAATCTTGCAATTTCATCAATCACAAACAAGGATGATTCAACAAATCCAATTCATACCACTAATCCTCCACCAATGCCAATGTTAAACTCATCACATCATCAGGATGCAGAAAATGAAATAATAACCATATGTGGTAAGTATCACAAATCCCAACATTATCAATATCAATATTCTATTACAAATCATAAAATATCTTTCATAAATTACTAAATAATAATAATCTCATTACAATATTATAAAATTAATTTATACATAATATCATTATAATATTCTTCACATTAAATATCAAAATAAGTCCTAATCTAGTTGGATATATATCCACAAAAATTCTAATGTTAATATGTATTCGAAGATCTATTACATATAAATCATACATATACATCTACCAATATCTATACTCATCATAAAATTAATTTAATCCATACTATTTTATAATATATTCTATCAATCGCATGAACTAAATAATTAATAAAAATGTGTTTAAATAATAGAAAAATAATAATACACCTTATTAAAATCAATATTTCCAGATTCAGACACATCTATATTCCAACTGCATGACACAACCTCAGCATCATATCATCCCCTAAATGCTTCCATTGACAATACCTCAATCAACACAAACAAACGTAAAAAACTCAACCAATCAACAATCGACACACAAACAAAAACCATAGATGCACCACAAACAAATTTATCATCAAACAAAGCATATTAGAAAAAAATTATTCAGGTATATTATCGCATAATTATAAGAATACCTTATTCATCAACAATAACAATATTTCTTATTATACATCAGATGATTCATCTACCCTATCTAACCTAACAAATAATATAAATACTCAGGTGGCAAACGTCTTAAAACCACCCATACTTTCATCTACCAAAACAAAAATTAATATTTCTTTTCTATATATGTATGTAACTGAGAAAAATGTTAATTTTATTGATAACTGAATGTGTAAAAAACTGTGTGATTGGTAATGACTCTGTTGACCGTAGCGTGTAATTAATTAGTGAGAAACATTAAAACAACAAATTCGTTACTAATTAAAATTCAAATACAGTAGCTTTATACGCTGTCACCGAAAATGTCGCTTTGGACAGACAGCAAGACAGACACACAACCTTTTTAAGAAATTTGAATTACAAATACTTTAAGGCGAAGATTTTAATTAATTAATTGGACACACTTTTCGATATGCCAAAAACGACGCATACTAAGTGGCTTTTTGCTCTTGATACACTGAATACTTCCCACACTGTTTTTGGTTAGACCAATATGCAGCGCGGTACCGGCCAGATTGAGCATTTAAGTCTCACTGACAAAAGAGTAAAAGACTTCTTAAAGTAACCGCAACATCTTAAGCATAAAATATGTAGTAATTCTATTTAAGCGCAGTGTAAACTTAGCAGCGGGAAACAAATTAAAATTAATAAATTAATTTTTTAATTTAAATATGAACAAAGTATGAGTATATATAGTACGAGTTTGTAGAACGCATAAAGTAGTTGTTTTACAACTTCAATAATTACAATATCAGGTCATAATCATAAAATCTATATAAATGTATTTTTAAATTTTAAAAATAATGTATACTTCGATCATTAATTATTATTTAATAAGTCTTTTCGTTAAATAAGATTAATACAATTCAAAAAAATAATCATAAGTAGTAATCATAAATAAAATATTATTAAAAAAAAAAGTCAAAATTATTAAAGCAATTTTTCTATTTCTTACAATATGTTAAAATTTTTATTTCTTAAAGTGAGTTTAAACGATCAGATTGGTTTTTTTTTCACCCTATTGCAAAATTAGACCAACCTTGGTCAAAATTTTCGACAGAAAGGAAGTACATTTTTGCCACTGAACAATAAATTAACACAACACAAGTGCAAAATAAGATTTAATGAAATAAATAACACTTACTTTGTGCTCAATGATCGTTTGTTGGTTCGCAATGGTCGTTTGCGGGTTGGTTTTGGCAAAATCTTGCGTTCTCCTATCACTACAACATGCTTTCCAGAGAACTTTTTTTTCAAGTTCACGCACCAAAATTGGCTGGCGATAATAAAAAAAATCTCAAATAATATAAAACGAGATTTCGGGAGTGCACAAAATTTTTTTATGTGTGAAAATTTTGCTCAAAAAATCCACAGTAAACTCGTAACAAATGCAGAAATAAAAAGTATGCGACGCGAGTGCTAAAAAATCTACAGTAAACTCACGCTAATGTCGGAAACAAAAAAGTACGCGACGTGAGTGTAAAAATTAATAAAAATTCCTGCAATACATAACACCCGATAACAAAGGTGTTTGCAGCGAATTTTAATTATCAAGTATCCCAAAAAAAGGGAGAAAAGTGACATAAAAATTAAAAATCTTAAAAGTAAATTAAAATTAACAATCAAATTGTGAATTTGTGTTGGAACATAAAAATATGTATAAATAAAAATATACAATAACTACATTAAAGTACTTCATGTACAAGTTGTATTTCAAAACATAAAATAAATTAAAAGACAAATATTCCGGTACACAAAGTGGTACAAAGTTTTTTAAAAAAAGAAATATTTTTAAAAAAAGTGCAAACATATTTACAAAACCTTGCTATAATTAAATTAAAATAAAAAAAACCGGGTACGTTGGATTAAGAAGGTAAACAAAAATATTACGTAAACAAGTATTAAACAAATGTAAATTAATTCTTACAAATTGTATAACAAAACAAATGAACAAGAAATAAAAAATAAATTAATGTAGTTTAAAAATTGTATTACTTTTAACCGAAAAACCGGAGAACCGGAAATCCGTATTATTATCATCGAATATATAATTAATATAAAAAAAATCTAAACCGAAACGCAAACGATTTCTTATAAATTGACAGCAGAGCTCAATGTTTAGCACAAAAAGCTACTGTAATAACACCTAACCGGTGTATAATCATAGAAATAAAAACTTTTTTACAAATTTTTGAATGTATAAAATAACTTCTTAGTCCCGTCAACCAAATAAAAGCCAAATAGTATTTAAAATAAATGAAAATTTTTAAAATTATACTAAAACAAATCTTATAAAATTAAAAATTGCTGAAAAATATAATGCATGCGTATTTTTTAGCAAACAAATTTTACAAAATTATATGCTAAAATCAAAATGTACTAAATGTACAATATATAAGAAAAAAAAAGTACATAATTATTTCAAAATCATAGTTTTATAATGTACATAAAAAAAATACAATATATACAACAAACAAAAATATGCCTACAGAAATTAATTAACGATTTGATTTACTGCATTATTCACGCTTTTACTAACAAATTAAAGGTGGTGGTGTGTGTGCTTGTTGTTTTTTTCTAAATGAGTATTATTACATATTACTATCTAAAACAAAAACTTTTTGACTAATGTAATAATATATTTTAGGCGTATTATACATATTTTTTTAATAATATTTTATGGAACAATTTTAACACACAACACTTTAAGCTTTAAAAATTTTACACATAGAAAATGTCTTGAGACTCTCTAATAAATCTATGGAGCAACAAGAATGGGAACAATACTGTTCTGTTGCTTTAACAATTTAATTGTGAAAAAAAACCCTATTTTGTTTAATAACAACAGATTTATAAAAAAATATATGAAAAATGCCTAACTATATATAATAAACTATAATTTTCACAATATTTAGAATTTAATTATTTTTAATATGAATTAATGTCTCTAATATCGTAGACCGATTTTTTTTGTTTGTTTTTAATTTTTAATTTTTAATTTTTAGTTTTTAGTTTTTAGTTTTTTTTTTGTGTAAATGAAAAGTAAAAAAATATTGGCAAGTAAATATATATATACAAACGAAATTTATGATTTTAGATATTATGATGAGAATCAGCAGTAAAATACAAAAATTCAATAATGTGAATGGCATGTGTAATATATATGTGTGTGTATGTGATGAACAATTTAATATATCTAATTTATTTATTTATTTATTGTCTAGTAGGAAGCAGTGTTAAGAAAAACCAAATCAGCACAAAAATTAGATTCGCTTTAATTTATATAGTAGAGTTTTTCAAAGAAGAAAAGACAAGTAAGTTTTTTTATTTTAAACACAACAAAAAATATTTTACAAAAATCTACATAATAATATTAACACAAAAACAACTAATTTGGAAAATAATTTTAGATTTTATAAATAAAAGCACAGCTTGTCTTTTCTTGTTTAAATATATGTTTGCTTGTTTTTTTCTTGTAGTTTAAATAAATTCTCTTCTTTAATAACATAAGATACTAATTATGTAAAGCTTTTTGAGCACGACATATAAAATTCTTTCAGATATTCTATTTAGCAATATATTGTAAATATTAAGGCGATTTTTTAAACTATTAAATTTTTATAATGCGTTACATGAAAAATATTTACTTCTTTAGTAAATTTTTTATATAAGTTTCTGGCTAACTTAACTATGTTAATCTTCAAGTATATTAATTCTAACGTTGTTCAAAATTACAGATCTTATTAAAAAAAAGTCCTGATATCTATAACTAACTATATATTTTATTTGTCGTGCTCGGAGCCTTTGTTCTTCTTCTTTGAATGTTTCGTATTTAGAACTTACCTTGTGGGTCCCGTTGCTGTGCATCTTGTGTTGTCAGTAACAATTCATCCTGAGATCTATCATGTTGCCAGGGTGCGTAGCCTAAAAGAAGAAACGCGTGTTTAAAAATTTTGAAATGAACATATATCCTTAGAAATATGTATTACAATAAAATTTCAAGTCATTAAACTACAATTTACTTGTAGCATTTTATATTATACGCAAGGCTTAAATAATTTAAATTACATTTCATTTATTTAGATTTTTGAAAAATCATTGATTAATTGTTCAAGTATATAACTAACTTATTAAATTATTTGTTAAAATTATATTTTATGTTCACTAATATTTCGATTACATTCTATGGTCTTTCTTCAGGATACTGATAGATTATAATATAATCAAGGTACTGTACTAATTAGACTACAGTCAAAAATTAGTGAAAACAAAATATATTTTTTTTATAATTTAAAAATTGTGCATTATTTAAACAATTAACAAATTAAGCTCGTCATTAAAACAATAAATTTAATTTTGTTGTAATATAAAATATAACGAAAGAAACTTGTTTTAAATAAAAAAGTTAAAACAATAAATTACAACTACAACAAATTTTATATTTAATTTTAAGACTTTTTGTAGAATGTTTGGGTAATTTTTTATAGTGACTTAAAAATTTTACTACATAAAATGCAATTATTTACCTTGACTAGATCCTTCTCCTCCTTGACTTGTACCAGCATTATGATCTAAATCATCCATACCCATTTCTTCATCATTGACCTGAGGTTGCTCCTGTAGCACCTACACTCATTCCTGTCGATAATGCTGTTGATGATGTCGGAATTTGTGCCGCAGCTGCTGTTATAGCGCCAGCACCAGCTAAGTTTGCAGGCTGCTGAAGTAATGCGGATTGATTAGATTGCATTTGAGAGGAGTTTGAGTTGTCATGAATATCTGCAAATGAAATAAATAAATATTAGTTAACATTCATATTAACATTATTTAGTCATTTAAGTAAAATTGATTTTTTTTATATAATATACATACCAGTCATGGCATTTTCAATGCTCCTGCGCCGAACTTTTCGTCGACGTCTTGATGGACTAGAAGAACCTTCACGTGATGCAGACAAATCTTGTGAATCCATACCTGATTGTCCAACACGTGCACGTTTGGTTTGTTCTAATGTATAACCAGAACTTAATTTGCTTGAACCACCACCGACACTACCAGGTATGTTTAAACCCCGATGATGTTCAGGATTCGGTGCACCAGTGCGATTATCGGATAAACCTTTAATTTGCAATGACTCAGCAGCTTTTAATAAAGCCGCTAATTGATCTTGCGAAATATTTACTTCGCCACGATACATATAGTCCATCATTGCGGTCAACTCCTGATACTTAACATCTCTCAAAATTAGAATAGGATGTTTATCATATTGTTGTTGAAGTAAGGTCTAAAAAAAATTCATAATGATTAATTAAATATATACATAGATGTTATTTGTTTATTATATATTTAATACTTACTGCAAAATTAGACTACATGCTGATAAAACAACTTTGTGTGCTTTAAGAAATTTTCCTTCAGCAGCGATTGTACAATCCACAAGTGTCTGACTTGTCAAAAGATTGTCAAAGACACTGATCAGAGTGCTCTGATGGTTGTTCCATCGCAAACAAAACTGCTGATCGTCATCCATTTTGGACGAATGATAACGTCAACCTTTCTCTTATACAAGACGTTATAACACGTCTTCAATGTTTTAGCGGGAGTCCAAACTTAATGTTGTTTCTTTCTTGTTACTGCTTGTATCAAAATTCAGTGGGTGCTCTTCTAAGCAAAATAAGGATAGTGTAGAATGGGAAATGACAAGTTCTTTGTTTAGTTAAAGTGATACATCACTTGAGTTTCTTAATTTATTATTTGGTATTATCAAGTAACAATGTTGCCTAAAA